TTGTCGGTACAAGTTCTAGTGTTAATAAGTTTTCGGAACGTAACTCCCCTTTTTGGTACTGGCTCTGGGTCTTGTATAACACGGTTTCACACAACACGGAATTTTCTAGGAACCTATCTACCGTGTTATAAGAGGATTACTTGTATACGAAAAGACGATATGGATATTCGCGTTGATATGCAAATTTACGAAAGGAAAATAGGGAAAAAGTCGAGGCTGAAACTCTGCGACTGCCCGAGTCTCGAGTATCCACGAAATCCCGACGTTTCCCGTCACGTCCCACCCCGCTTCCTCTGTCGATTTCTCGACGTAGCAGCAGACGAAAAAAAGTGGAGCATCGGATACTCTTCAATCGGTCCCGTCCGCGGCGCAACCACGAAAACAAGAAAGAAACGAGGGGAGAGTAGTGGCAACGTCCCTGAATGAGAAAGCGGTTCGATGCACTTGCCACTCCTTTCCACCGGCCTCAGCCCCCCCCCCTCCCGCCCCCTTCCTCCCCGAGCGTCGCTGGTCCGTTGTTGTTCCGCAGACGTGTTGCAACACGAAAGGAACGAGCGTACAGGAGGCAGGATAATGCCAGGACCGTGTATACTACGCGGAGCAGACGGAAGAGCCGTGGACAAGAACGACTGGGAAACGCAAGGGGGGCAGGGAGACGGAGAGGAGATCGAGAAGCTGATTCGAAAGCCCTCCCAGGTGCTGGGCTTTTTGCCAGTTACATTCGCCCCGTATCTTCCTTGAACGATTCTAATATCTTTGCTAGCTAAAATCGACCAACTTTCGCATTCCAATACGTCGCCTAGCGAACGATTTCGTAAATCTAGCAAAAACGGGTTACAATTAGACCCCTGTACAACGCGGTTAGGTTAGGTCTGGGTTAGGATTAGGTTATTTTTATAACGCGTTTGAAACGCATAAAACTCGAGACCACAACTTTCGAGCGTGACCATTTTTCTATTTTTAACATTTTTAGTTTACCATGACGTAATTCTATAATCAAATTTATGCCGAGAAATCAGACGGAATAGAGAAATATTGTTTGCATTGGAAAAGAAAGCAAAGGAATTTAATATATACAAAACTTTCTTACCGTGATTTATACACGACAGTTGTTTAATCTCAACACCGTTCCTCCACCTGTAAATTAGCATCTTAATATATTAAGGGGTTCCAAGAAAATATTGCGCATCTCGGAACCTTAATTTATTAAATCATAACTGCGCCAGAAAGTAATTTCAGCAAGTATTATGATTTATGGCCGTCCGGCGTCGTTTCGAAAGCAATTGCATTCATCAGCAATACCATGCTGGTCCTTCGGATGCAAAAAACTTGGCTTGTCCGCGTTTGACGTTGTCATCGTTGAATTCGCCTCGTTCGAAGAAGTATGACAGAAATCGCGCAGCGTCGACCAAAAGGGAAGCAGTTCTTTGGTGCAAAAATAAATCGAAAGTCTCGCGACAAAAATAATCCGAACAAAGGCGTTCTCTGTTTTTATTCATTTTTAAATATGTAAAACGATCGAATTCCGTCAAAGAAAAAGACAATTTTAGTCGAGAAGCTTTTATAAATTTTCCTTTTGAAATGTAGGACCGTAAGATTCATCGCGGCACGAAAAAACGGCCCCCATTGATCGCCACGGATTTCTTACGATCCTTCCCCCGACGATCAACGCATGAAGAAGCACAGTGTTCGGAAGAACCGAGAACAAACAACCGGCCACTGTGCACGACATAAATAATGATTTACGAGAGGACGAGAGAGCGAGCCCTCGGAGGCCTCTAGCGCAATCGCGACATAAACGTCGTCCGAGCTCGGTGAATTGCTCCTCGAGACGAACTTATTGATAATAACGCGGAGATAGCAGCGACGTTGCGCACGTCGCGATAAACAATTTTGATTGCGCGCCATTAACCCTTAAGTGGAGCGACTTCGACCGATCCGACATCGTCTCGGGACGTCGACTCTCGTCTAATCGAGTCGTTGTGTAAATCTCGAATAATTAATGGTATCCGTGGGCTGTTCGCGGCCGAGGAAGCCGTCTCTTTTCGACCACCGGACCAGTTTCTTCGATGCCCGGTTCGAGGATCGACCACGGGTGTTAAATTTCACAGCGTTCTCTAGTTCCATTCACGCACGTGCAGATGGCACGAACATCGAACCAAAGAAAATGAGAGGAAAACGTTTCGTGTGCCCCAGACCTGCTAGACGCCGGGATATTGAGCAGTCGATCAAGAAGCGTAGATACAGGGTGTTCAGCCACCCTTTGGAAAAATTTTAATAGAAGATTCTAGAGGCCAAAATAAGACGAAAATCAAGAATATCATGTTACGAGCGCGAGCGCGAGATCCTGGATTCGGTCGAGGGCAGTACTCGACCGGTGGTTTTAGGTATGGTTAGGAAAAAGAAAGGAATTCTGGACGAACCAGGGGCTCTATACCCTGGGAGCCGTAGGAGGAGGTTACGTGGACGAACCAAGGGCTCTATACCCTGGGAGCCACGGGGTTAGATTTATAAGGAAAATGTATGGTTTCACGGACGAACCAGGGGCTCTATATCCTGGGAACCGCTAGAAGGATTGGACGAACCAAGGGCTCTATATCCTGGAAGCCACGAAGGTTTTTAGGATGGTTTTAGGATCTTGCTCTGTCGTAATGGTACACCTCGAGCGGTAAAGGTGTACCGGGTTCGTGAGATACCCCTAGTCTTACTGTTAATAGGATTCGGGGTTGTATTAAGTGAATAATGCAAGTGTGGATAACTACTTGAATATATTCTAGTCGATGCTCAAGTACAATGGTCAATTAACAGAACTGGTACTATTGCTAGGTTGCCTTAACGGCGAAAGTTCTATGTCGGCTTTTACGCAGCGCGTTCGCGGGAGCTACTTCTCGATTAGCCTAATGGACACTCACTAATAAAATCGCTAAGGTAGGTACGTTGCTTGATGGAGATTATAGCCCGATCTTGCCTCGAGTGTCAAAGTAATGTTGTGTCGAAAGTTTAAGGAAAACTGAGCTCGAGTGAGAAAACGCAGCTCTTTTATACTCGAAATTGCTCTGTAAAATGATGACGTGTTACCATATAAGGCAATGAAAATTGGGCCGGGTACTCACATGCAGCATGAGTGAACCCCGTCCAGGGGGGTTGTGCGCTAGATCATCGGGCCAATGCCCAAATACCGAACGTTTCGGTCCCATACATGAATGATATGTAACAATCAATTTCTTGACTGAGGCTTCATTAAAAAGTTATAAAAAATTAAGTTAAAAAATTTCGAATCATTCTGAAAAAATTATATTTAGTTACAGGGGGCAATTACAAGCATTTTTGATAAATAGACATACCCAGAAATCCTACGCACTTTCGAGAAAAAAATTTTTGACCGAACCTCTAATGTGAGGCCAGAAATGTTTCCCTGAAATTTCATACGAATCTTTAAAATGTCATAACTCTTGAACGGATTGGAGGATTTTAATTTTTCAAAATGAAAACGCGTATTTTAGTGGAGAATATGTAGAAATTCGAAAAAAATTATTTTCAGTCGCGGGGGTTAATTACAATCAGTTTTGGTCATTTTTCTCAGGGATGACTGAACACCTTGTATATGTACCAGCGCAAGATCGGTCGAGTGCTTGCGAGAGAACGATTCCCCTGGCTGCGAGTACGCGAAGTGACGACACCACAAATTATTATCGTTATTTATTAGAAGTTCACGAATTAATAGATGTCGAATCCAAAAGAAGACTTGAAAAAAAGAGGAACGAAACAAAACGCAAAAAAAAAAATTGAATTCTATTTTATATTTCGTGCAATATCGCTTCAAATTGATTCCAAACATCGCCTTGAAAGTCGTTTTCTTCGATCGAGACAAAAAAAAAAAAGAATAATTCCCTTTTCGGAATTTACATTCGCCCCGAACATTTTGATAAAATCGATGTTTTACGTTGTCTCGTCCGTCGTGGAATACAGACGATCGGAAAGACATTAATTTCTCGACTGTCCGATAACGTTTTACCGCGACAATTTCAGCGGCTAATTAAAAAGAAGGACGAGAGAACGGTATGTCGAATCATTAAGCAGGCGAGTAATCGCGAATCGAGGAAACCGATTAATCGCGGCTCGATCGACATTCTCGAGGATGAGTCGGTGCATATGTTCGACGCTGCTTAATCCTCGTCAGGTAGAAACGGAGGAGACCAAACGAGATACAAAGAGCTACATGTTCAGCCGGAACATCGGCGTTAATGCGCATTTTCACGACGCGTTAGTCACATTAAGGGTCTGAAAAGAAACTACAAACGTAGACACCTGCACGTGATTCGAAGATGAATGACCTTGGAATATCCTACGGCGTACAAGAAAAATTAGGTTCGTTTGATCCGCAATTTCGGTCGAAATTTAACGTTTCACCAATTTTTTCAAATTCACATTATATTTACGTAGCACATTATTTATAACATACAATGTATGTAAATAATATTATTCACTAACGTCAGATTCATTCAAGCATTCTTTATTTGACCACAGACGTGACTAAATAATCTACCATATTTAATAAATAAAAAAAGTTCAGCATACAAATTTGATAGGAACAACTTAACTTTTAATAAATCGATATAAACGTAAGAATCATGTTTCGTCTAAAAATCTCCAATATACTTTTTTAATCGTAAAGTATATGAAATGGAATAAAATTCTTTTAAATGTTGCAATAATAATTTTTATCAGATCTATATTTTTGTATTTTTATCGTATTTATGAGAAATTTGGCAACTATCAGACTTGGAAACGAGACTTTAGGATCTTGAAAGCTACTCAGTTTGCAGGTTAAATGGCTGCCCATTAAAAATAGGACATTTCGCAGCAAAGAAAAGGAGAGGCACGAGCGAAGAATCGGTAAAAAGAATATCTGAGGGACTCGAGGGATTAGCAAAGTCACGTCGAACAAACCGAGGAGACAAAAAGTGGAGGAAAAAATTGAAAAGAGAACGCAGACTCACCCAGCTAACGGCGTCATTTTCAGCGCAAGAGCCTTGCTGATGCAAAATCCTGCGCCACCCGTCGCGAACCAGAATTTCACCTTTTGCTGGAACAGAAAAAGAGAGCAGTTCGTTAGAAACGATCGAAACGAGCGGGCATCGTGATCGATCGTTTCTGGGACGCCTAGGTCCATCGACTAACTAAAAGAAATAAAAAACCGAAAAAAGAAACAAAAAATAGCGAGCATAAATATTTATAAATGAGATTACCAAACATAGAATTTGGTTGGTTAAAAATTCTAGCAATGGAATCTGACTTGATTAGATTAAATTAATATAATTGGTGACGAAATAACGGTATGGTATGTAGAGGCCCCGAGCAATGATTAAGATCGATGAAACTGAAGTTACAAGTTGACATGACCATTAATAATCTCGAAAAAAAGAATTAAATTCTACGAGAAGAAGCCAGAAGTAATGGAAAATTTCTTATTTCACGTACGGTTAAATGGCAACACTGCGCCTATGGAACATAATCTATATGCACACGCAACTGACACCTGTAACGGTATCGCCATTGGCTTTGATCCAACGTATACTTTAGATCTTGATTATGGTTAGGGCTTTGACCGTTCGTAGCAAGAAACGTGTGTTATAATTCGATTTCTGCGTTTGCAAAAGCTCATGTTTTTCACAAATAAATAACAAAAAATACAGTATACAATGTATCGTAAAGAGAAAGAATCATTAAAACGTAGTTTAAGGCAATTTGTTACCATCTGTGAGAGGAATGTGGATTAATACTTGTCCATACTCTGACCAAGTACGTCTGGAATTACTGTCAGGACTAATCTTTGTGGCAAAAGTAGAATAAGAATAAAACCAAGATACTCGACTCGAAGATAAAAAAGACACGGCAAGAAAAGGCGAAAACGAACCGAGCGTTGGTGGAATGAAAAGGAGATCGACTTTGATTTTCCCTTTTCGCGATATTTCCGGCACGGATGGGCCATTGGGTCGCGCTCTTTTTCGAATTTTCACGCTTCGAATGGAACACGTGTCGTCGACGAAAAGGGTCGTCCAAAGTAACGAGAAAAAGGACGAGCGGAAAGAAAGAATCGAGAACAGTGTTTCCGATCGGCCTCTTCCCAGTGACCTGGAAAGGCGACTCGAGAAAACCAGTGCGCACAATGCACGATCGGCGCAGAAACGCGAGCAAACTAGCGATGGCTGCGACTCTACGCCATCTTACATTTGTTCGCGGGAATCACACGTTAATTCCTATGCTTACTCCATCGAGCCACAAACTGTCGACAACTTCAAAACACATATTATTCGTGTTACCGGCGAGATACAGCCTGCTTTGTGCGCCAGAGTCGCGAAAACCAGGCTCACAGTATTTTCTCGGTGTTTGTAGCTCGGAACGAAGGTCGCGAATGTTTCGTTGCTAGGGTAAACGAAACTCGAGACTTGCTTAACCTCTGCAGGCATAGAGAAGGACAGCGAAAGAAAGACGCAGGAACGAGAGCTCGAGCATTCGAAGAAGGTTAAATGTCCCGTGTATCGATGTTCTAATGAAACGCAAAATAAAAACTTTTCTATTTTTGCATTTTCATCTAAGATAATTTGTTTAACCTATCGCTGAAATATTTCTGATTACAATGGGACCAAACACGGCAAAATTTCGACGATTTTTACGTAACGTTCGAACGTATACTGAAATAAAACAATGACCAGCAGACTATCTTCTGTAGTTTTTTATTTTATACACGCGGTTCCCTAATCGTTTTGGACGAAGTTACAGCGCGAATAATGAAGTCTTATAAAGCAAAGAGAGCTGATCGTTCGGTAATTACAGATCGACGATGGTTTCGAACAGAAACGTATTGAATTACGACAGAGTTCCTTCGACCAGCCGATTAAAAGTTCAACGAATTTTTCGACGTCGGAACTAATTTAAAACTCGTCGACCGATCGACACGCAACGAATGTAAATTATCATACGATCGGACAACGGCGTAACCGACTGCACGACTGCCAGGGCCTGGATGTCGTAAGATTTCGGTTTTGTTGGCCACATTGTAGCCACGCACGTGCAGCCGTAGTTCGGCTCACGGCTATTCGTCATGCACCACGCCTAGAAAGGAGCACGATTCCCGAGTTCTAGACCGAGATAGCATCAGTGGCATGGATCGCGACCAGGTCGAGCAGAAGTCCGGCTCTAATGGCCTGCAGCCATGGCGATCGGTCAGAAATCGGCTCGCGACTTTCCACGCTCGACCTCCTAGCGACTGTCGCGGTTTATCGCCCGGTCTGGCTCGCAAACGTTGCAGTGTAAAAAGGCGGACATTGTTTTCCTCGGATGCTGTTCGCCTGAACGAGTTTCGAAATTAGAACACCGCGGCATCACTGGGTACCTTAGCAATGCACAGAACAGAATTCAACCCCATCTTTCTTCTTTTGTTTAACACACTGACTGACCGACATAATCCTTCAACTTGTTCACGACAACGAAACTTTTAGAACTCATTTTTACAGTCACGTTAAAATTCAAGAGTCCAATCTACATTCACCTTGTTTAATATTTAATCTTGAGAATTAATCTTTGTAGCTCCTTAATGAAAATTCATATCACCCATATATGGGTGGCGTGGCAGTCAATTTGTCAATTTCTACGAACCCAGACCTAACCTTTGCGGTCTTAACTCTTGGAATCCTAACCTCTGTTTTTTTTTTCATTTTCCCGAAGAGTTTAACGAACCGCTTCTGTAATTAGAAACCACATTGTTTGGTTCGAATGAGATTGCACACGTGACCCGTAACGACCGTACCGGTATACGCGGCTCGAGAGAATCGGGATTCACGTACGATGTTCTCGCTGCGAGAATTACGACCGCGGATACAATGGAAGGTACGTTAACTGGATCAACGGTCTGTTGCTCTTTCCGCGGGATCGAGTCGCGGATAAAACGTCGGGGCCACTTTTGCGGAGGAATAACCGTTCTTGTGAATCTATAAAAAAACGAAAAAAATAACCGAGGTCTAAAAATTGCGTGCCTGGATCGGAATAACCGTTTAAGCGTGAAAGTTTCAGGCTTCGACACGCCTAGAGAAGAGACTCCTCGTAGCCCGCTTATCGGGTTTACACGGTTCCCGAGCACGTACATAGATGGCTCGTCTTCGGTGCCGTTATTTGCACCCGTGTCAACATTCCGCGCAACTGGACGGGCCCCGGGGATCGGCCGATCCGCATAATTCGACAGTCGCTCGTCTAAGTAAAAGTCGATATCGAGACCCGGAAGCGAGCGTAGTTCCACCGGTTAACCCCGATAGCGACGGTTGCTCGCGTCGTATCGCGGCGACTAATGAAACGGGGCGTCAGCTAAAGAGGACAGGTGAACCATTCGAACGGGCTCGCGTTCGAAGAGACTCGTGACCCATGACGGCCTCCATCGTTACACCACGAAGCGTATCCGTCGCTTGTGCACCGGAGAACGGGAGAGAGAGAAGAAGCATCGTGGCGGCTCCTATGCCACGTACGGCTACCTCCATTACTTCGATATTATTATACTTGCAGCTTTATATCTCACGGCATGATCTTCGTTTTGCGGCGGCGCATCCGGTGCAGCCCGGTGCGGAATTGCGGCGCACCAGTACGCCTTTAAGCCGTCCCGGCTGCTCGTTCTCGCGTCCCTTCTTTTATTATTTATTCCGCGGATATCGACGATCGCCTTCGTTCGTGCCCCAGCACGTGGACACGCATGCAAATTGACGCGGCTTGTCCGCAATTATCGTTCATTAATATTCCTAGCCCGATAACAACGCGTTTTTAATGTCGTTATCGATCGTTACAGCGATCCGGAGAAATTTCGCGGCGAGTAGCGCGTGTCTCGAGCTACGAAACGTTTCGAGTTAATTAACAACCTTTCGCGTTTGCCGGGATCACGTTCATTCGCGTTTACACGCGTGATAATAATAATTTTTTTAGTCGTAAAGTGCAAATCGTATACAAAAATTATTATTATTATTATTTATCATTTGTATTAAAAATCTGTTTAATTATATCGACGAGCATTATATGTAATAGTAGATGGTAATAAATATTTCGATAGTCTTGCGTTTTTGACAATACTTACTACCAGCCGTGGCCCAAAAATTTCGATTTTTGAATATTTATAATATTTATAAAATAAAACAAAAAATAAATTAAGAGATCCAATTTAGGTACACGTGAGAAAAATAATATCTTAGAAGGTTTGCCTTTTTTGCCTAAAAAAATTATTATTATTACTTATCATTTATATTAAAAATCAGATGTTAATGAATATTTCGTTAGTCTTGCGTTTTTGACAATAGTTACTACCCAGCTGTGTTCCAAAAATTTCAATTTTAAAAAATGTATAATACCTATAAAATAAAAAAAAATCGCAAAAATTCAGGGACCACCAAACAAAAAAAAAATTTCGAAAATCAGCAGAGCAACTGTCGTTGCCTTGGTTCTCATCGGCGGAGTTAGGTTCGCCGGTCGGTATCGGGGCCCCTAATCTGTTCATTAGTCGTAATATATCGAACGGCAGCCACCCACTCTCCATCAGATATTACTCGCCGCGTCATTCGGGGCCCCGGTTTTACGACTCCGACCGTCCCGGAGAACCGGTCGTTTCGAATCGGGACCGAACGATCAGGCCCTCTTGCCACGCTTTCGATTACCGGTTTCCGGATTGGATGACTCTCTGACTAATTAACGTCTTAACGACCGCCGCTGTGTACGCGAAGATCTACTTCCGAAACCAACATAACCTGCAATGTTAAAATTCGTTTGCATTTTCGATACTACAATAATCATTGTTAACCTCTTCAAGGATAGCCATATGGATACGTTTTTAAGTTCATTTGAATATTACATCATAATAGTAACCACTAGAGTCACGAATGAATGCTCATTTTTAAATATTTGACATTGTCAGAAAATTGATGGACGTCATGGGTGAATGTAAATTTGAATTTTTGTTTATTAAGAACAAAATAATTTGGTCCTGATGGGGTTGATAATAAAGTAATATTTATTTTCGTGGGCGTTGCATCGTTTGGACCCAACAGTCCCTAA